GTCAAAGCACGGCTACATTAACGCTAAATACTGTTACAAGTCAACAGACTAAGAAAACATTTGCAAACAACTACAAGAAAAAACACAGAAACATACAGCACGTTACTGTTTCTCCGAGTTATTAGTCGAGGCAGCGACCGGAATGAAGACTGGAACTTCGTTGCATTTCCTGCAAAAAAACAGAAATCAGTATTAACTTTCGGTTACAAACAATCTCGAAATGATCCCAGATAGTTAGACCGAGCTTCCGTATTGACTGACACATTTAGAAAATAAAGCAATTACCCTGGTGCAACATAAAATGTTCCTATCCATGAAGTACTTATATTTAAAGTCTACATTTGAAGTGTGAATACGGGAGAGACAATAGTTAGTGTATCGATTAGAAACTACCACATTCGAATGTGTTTCTTTCACTATTTCCTTTTCAGCATATTCTTTTTCTGAAACAGTTCAGTTAACACATAAGCAATTAATTAATATCTTTATAGGTTTCTATAAACAGCAGGCCTGCAGTGTTGTCGGGTCAAACCCATTTCTGCCGTGAAGAAATCTAGAATCGCCTAGTTGAGTCTTCTTTTGACAAAGTACATCACTTTTCCAACAACAGCAGTATACAGTGTACTTCAACACCATACGTGTAAAACGAATAAAAGGGTTTATACTTACACAGGTAATTCCAGCAGCTGAGCCAAGCGTGTCCTGCCCGAAGACAACAAACTGGAAACACAAGAACACAAGTATTTAAACGAGAACTTAAAGATAATTAAAACCAAGGTTTTTAGCAGCAAACGACGTTTTCACTAGGGCCGATAGAGCAGAATATATTTCAAAAAGATGCGTGTAGAGAAATGAATAAAATGATTATACTTACGTTTATACTTCCATGATTCAGTGCGACTCGTGTCCTGCCCGGACACTTAACTGAAAACACAAAAACAGCAGAATTTAGAATTTAACGACCACTGAAACTAAAAAAGCATTAGTTGCCAGATAATGTTTACTAGGAATATAAGAACATAATCACACAACATACTCTAGAAATGATTAAAAATCTTTAACGTTAAAGGTAGCCTATTTTCGGTTTTGGATAAATGCACAAGAGTTCACGAAAATTAAGATAAAGATACATACGTAAATTGACGTTTGCATTCTGCCAATACAGCAGTGGCTTTACTGCTACAACAGAGCTTTTCTTCGATGTAAAACGAATACACACGTCGTTTGTGTAACACAAGTGGCTTGAATTAAAAAATGCTATTTAGCTCCCAACGAAAATACGTGTTTTACCCTTTTTGCGAGGTATAAAGTACATATTTACATTGGTTAAATTTATATCTACATTAAAATAAGGGAAAAATAAAAAAAGAATCACAAAAGACGCGGAACAAACTCACTCAGCTCCGCTCTCTCCAGCAGAACCTGGCGCACAGGTGCGCGGGGCGTGGCCTGCGAGTGATGTCATGCAAGTGGGCGTGGCTACAGACTGACGGTGCAGGTTGCTTTTTTTCTTGGGTCACCTAGAAACGTTTATGATTTTATTTACTTTTATTATTTTATTCTTAAAAAATCGTCATTTTCGCTTCGCAACTTGATACTTGATAACACTGCCAACATGAAGAGAGGTCCGTACAATTTCATTTCAAACCTATTGTGTTTCCATGAGAAATGATACAATACTGTTGGTAGTGTAGTGTATTGTAT